TTAAGACATGGGGCAACCTTTCTAGGCATGAAAAAAATGGATAAGTTAACACTTAACTGTTAGTGATTTTTGGAGGTTCGTTAGAGCATTGTCCTAGGAATGGATGCAGGGAGCCGACATTGACAGGTGCTCAATATTTATTTTTGCAACGAGGGATTGTGTTGGGCTAGCTGACACAAGTCAGCTTCATTGGAAGCATCTCTGCGATCACAAATTGATATAGGTACTTCCCACCTCATGTTACTCAAACATAAAACCCGATAAGTAAAACAAAACAGATGACCAGTCATCGAGTTAAACATATGTTTTGCTTCACTAACGCGTTCAAACGTTCACTGCTTCACCGGTATTGTTATCTGTTAGGTATCTAATATCTTATTCTATTCATTTATTGTCTATGGCTCGGCTGCTCACGCTCCGCCTTCATGTGTCGATACACGTGTCTACACGTGGTAGACCACCCCAGTAGTCACGTGGTACACGTGCAACCCGTGGTATTACAAATACCAAGGACGGGAATACATTGGAATTCCCGTATGTTTTTCGTGCCCCTATCGCGTCCCATCCCAACGTTTTACCAGTGGTTGCAACAGAAGCGATGTGACGGCGGTGGGAGCCTAGCTCTGTCACCTCAGTGACATCCTGCCCCCTGATGTCTAATCACCTGTCACCTGTCACGTGCAGCGGCTGATGTCACATCACCGAGAAATGACGTCATATTTACCGCCACTTGGCGGTGTGCCTTAACCCGCGCGGGGCTGGGTCTCCAGCCGAACGCGCGGGGCTGGGGGGGGGGGTAAATTTTACCCCCCCCCCCTGTTATCTCCCGAACTAATGGTCCGATTTGGAAAATTCAAACGCCAATCGAAAGATATCACGAACAACTAAAAACATGTACTTAATTTTAAGTTTGAGGTCAAGGTCAAGGTCAGGTCAAGGGTACAAATTGCAAGTTCCTACAGTATCGGCCTTGCACCGTAGTTGCCGAAGAATGGAGTCATGGACTGAGACTGATCGCCCAAAACGTGTTCTTAGGCTACCAAGACAATATTCGTTGCATACAATATCATTCAGAGGTCAAGGTCAAGGTCAGGTCAGGTCAGGTCAGGTCACCAAAAACAAAATATAGAAAAGGGCATGTGCGACACATGTTTTATGGGTCATTTTACTCATAGAATTCAATAGGCACACTCAATAAGTGATATGGACCACCTCTGGATGAATTTCAGGTCGAGGTCAGGTCAAGGTCAGGTCAAGTGAGGTCAAATTTTGAAGTTGGTTGTTAAGGCCTAAAAAGGTGTCTATCTGATGCCGTTTTTCACGGCGAATCGAATGGTGCTATTTTTGTTTCCGTACAAGGTCTAGAAGTTCCAAAAAAGTCATTTTTCAAAAAATTTTGTGTGTCGTGACGTCATACAATTTTGAATAACTCCCACATTTTTGAACCGATTCTTCTAAAACTTAGTATGTAGGTGCACATAGACCACTTCTCTGACATATATTCCGGTTTTTTCGATACACCCAAAATTTTGGATTTTATAGCAATTTTCCCAAAAAAGTCAGTTTTTTGAAAAAATTTGGGCCAAAATCCAAAATTTTCAAAAAAACCGAGACAGCCATTTGATAGACAAAGTAGAATTACGTATATCCTTTTTTGTTACGTCTTGATTCCTTTAAAAATGAAGATGTTAGCGGCGTTTGAACTTTTGCCGTTTTTTGAGGCGAAAATGGCGAACATGACGTCACTAAAACGTCAATTTCTCCAAAAAAATTTCCGACGGATTTCGCTCAAATTTTCAGGGAACGTGTCAAATTGATGTAAGAAAAGGTACTGAAAGTTTGGCGGCGCTGCGCGCCGCCGTTTTTGAGATATTGCAAATATTCGCGAGGGGGGGGTAAAATTTACCCCCCCCAGCCCCGCGCGGGTTAAGAGTTGCCTTGTCATTGCTTGTAATAAATATAAACAGCTAGCTGGTTTTAACCCGCGCGGGGCTGGGGTCTCCAGCCGAACGCGCGGGGCTGGGGGACTGGGGGAGGGTAAATTTTACCCCCTGTTATCTCCCGAACTAATGGTCCGATTTGGAAAATTCAAACGCCAATCGAAAGCTCTCATCAGGAACTACTAAAAACATGTACTTAATTTAAAGTTTGAGGTCAAGGTCAAGGTCAGGTCAAGGGTACAAATTGCAAGTTTCTACAGTATCGGCCTTGCACCGTAGTTGCCGAAGAATGGAGTCATGGACTGAGACTGATCGCCCAAAACGTGTTCTTAGGCTACCAAGACAATATTCGTTGCATACAATATCATTCAGAGGTCAAGGTCAAGGTCAGGTCAGGTCAGGTCAGGTCACCAAAAAACAAAATATGGAAAAGGGCATGTGCGACACATGTTTTATGGGTCATTTTACTCATAGAATTCAATAGGCACACTCAATAAGTGATATGGACCACCTCTGGATGAATTTCAGGTCGAGGTCAGGTCAAGGTCAGGTCAAGTGAGGTCAAATTTTGAAGTTGGTTGTTAACCCGCGCCCCACTGGGGTCTGTGTATAACACGCCCTACTGGGGGGGGGGGGGGTATTCATAGCCCCCCCCCCCCTCCTAACTCCGAAACTACTGGGCCGATCGTCAAAATTCAAACGGCGTCTGATAGCCCCGGAAAAACTGTCGAGCGAAACCTAATTTCATTGACCTCGAGGTCACCGATGACGTCACAGGTCAGGTCAAAGTAAAAATTATTAGCACTTTGGCTTGTTCACATTTTGGGCTCTGGCCGCCGTCTTACAAGTCAGATCAGGCTCATTTTTGGTTTCCACACTCGTGAACAGATTCTCTAGATACCTTGAGGGTACCAAACTTGTACTTTGATTTTCAGGTCAGGGTCAGGTCATCACAGGTCACGAAAATATTATATCATGCGTCGGTCACGTGACACATGTTTTATGGTCCATTTAGGCCATAGATTTCTAATTTGATGTCGTCTGTGTCATTCAAGGTCATTTAGAGTCGAAATTAGCTTAGGTCAGGTCACTTTCAGGTCAAAAAAGGTCAAATTTTGAAGTTGAAATTATTCAACAAAAAAGGTGTCTATTGGATGCAGTTTGAGCTCAGGAACACGATGGTGCCATTTATATTGGTGTACGATACCAAATACGTACTGAAAAATTGATTTGAAAAATTAATAATTGTGAATTTTTTGCAATAATGCGTATAACTTGGCCATTTTTGAGATATTTAGCTAAAACTTGCTAGAGTTAGTCATAATCATGCGTTCTGTCACATATATTCCGGTTTTTTTCGAAAAGTCAAAAACTTTTTGAAAAAAATATAAAAATATAAATTTTGAATATTATTATATAAAATTTTCGAAATTTTCAAACTTTTGAAAATCCGAGATAGCAGTTTGATAGCGCGGTCAATTCTGAGTTCTTTCATGCAAAGAAATTGGATCTAGCTTAAAAACTGAGCTCTTGGGAGCGATTGCCGTGGTTCAATGTTTTGCGTCGAAATCGGACGAACATGACGTCACTCTGACGTCATTTCCGGCCGACCTATGGTAGCTACGAAGTTCAAATTTTGACACAAGGTGTTAAATTTATGCAGCCGAAGGGATTGAAAGTTTGGCGTCGATTCGTCAAGCGGTTTGGAAGTTATTGCAGAAAAACGGGAGGGGGGGGGCTATAAATAGCCCCCCCCCCCAGTGGGGCGCGGGTTAAGGCCTAAAAAGGTGTCTATCTGATGCAGTGTTTCACGGCGAATCGAATGGTGCTATTTTTGTTTCCGTACGAGGTCTAGAACTTCCAAAAAAGTCATTTTTCAAAAAATTTGTGTGTCGTGACGTCATAAAATTTTGAATAACTCCCACATTTTTGAACCGATTCTTCTAAAATTTGGTATGTAGGTGCACATAGACCACTTCTCTGACATATATTCCGTTTTTTCGATAGACTCAAAATTTTGGATTTTATAATGATTTTCCCAAAAAAGTCAGTTTTTGAAAAAAAAAAAATCGGCCAAAATCCAAAATTTTCAAAAAACCGAGATAGCCATTTGATAGACAAAGTAAAATTACGCATAACCTTTCTTGTTACGTCTTGATTCCTTTAAAAATGAAGATGTTAGCGGCGTTTGAACTTTTGCCGTTTTTGAGGCGAAAATGGCGAACATGACGTCACTAAAACGTCAATTTCTCAAAAATTTTCCGACGGATTTCGCTCAAATTTTCAGGGAACGTGTCAAATTGATGTAAGAAAAGGTACTGAAAGTTTGGCGGCGCTGCGCGCCGCCGTTTTTGAGATATCGCAAAAATTCGCGAGGGGGGTAAAATATACCCCCCCAGCCCCGCGCGGGTTAAATAAACTGTGTCTGGTCGTTCTGACCTATGACCTGGCGGTTGCATTGACTTTGACAGTGTCATGAGCTAAAGGCCCGAACAAATTTTTATCTTTTCCGTAGTATGTATGTAGAGCAGAAAGAAAGCGATTGCTAAAATTATCAGAAACCCTTAATAAATCTGGTCGTCGTTTTTCGTTTGGCGCAACCTGAGATCACGAGCGTAAATAAAAGGTTCAATTTTCTGAGCAAATCACTTGCAAATCATGCAGTTGCTAGAGATAACTGCATGGGCATTGCGTGGCTAGAGATAAGCCACGCAATGCCCACTCGAACGGGGAGGCGTATATGTCAATGTGCATATGCTCCCATGCGATTACTTCTAAACCAATGAAAGTGTGCGGCTCAACTTGAGACGCACAAAGCAGATTACGGAAGTTCACTGTTAGATGTCTCAAATCAGTCGGCTAAACATTTCGGTATAAAGTATGGCTTCGGATGAAGGCCGATAGCCTACAAGCCACAGGTATGCCTACAATTTGAGATCGGGTTGGCAGGGATAGAGTAGCTCGTGCTTCTCCGCATCCCCCATGCCAGTTACCATATCTTCCTCCTCCTTTTTAACCGCAATAAACACCAAGTTCCCCGTTCACTTCAGCAAACATCCCTTTCCATTTGTGGATTATTATTCGTATTACTTTGATATCGAACAAACTCGAGAGCACTCTCGATTCTACCGGTACAATACGTTAATTCTAGCGCGCACATTGGTCCTGCCTGACAGGTGGGCCAGCCGCGGAAACTGGCATCTCTACTGTGGACCGGTCCCTGGGAGCTCACATCTCACTTTGGAGCTTTCTCTCACGGCCCCAGCGTCGAGCCGAACGCACACGTGTGAGCCGTTTATCCGCCGGCATTGCTGTTGTGGAGCCTCAGTGGCCGAGTTGTTCGTGGCTGGCGAGGGGTCGGTTTAGCACACACGGTTGGCTCTCATTCTCAACAGTTATCGTCCACCGTGGCCGAAGAGAAGCATGTTTCTGAGTTTTTCCTCCGGTCGCCGCCGGCTGGAGCCTGGTGGTGGAAGCACCACTGCACTGAGGCGACTGCAGCGACATCTGTGGTCGCGATGGTAACGGTAGCTGCGACGCTTTGCAACCGGATTCGGGTCCGAGAATTGGGAGAAGCGGGGAGGAGCGGGGCCAACAGTCACCGAGACACCCACGAGAATCACCAGACCGGCGAACTCTCTCAAACATCCACCCTGTCCATCGCTACAGCGCCGCGAGTTCGTACGGCAACAACACACCGGTCGGTGTCGCGGTGTGCACCGTTCGCAGAAACGGCAGCACAGCTGAGCGACCGCGTCACCCTAGCGGCAAACGCGGGAACTAGTAGTGCAATCTATAGCCGCCAGGCGCCCAGACGAAGCAAAGCGGCGTGCGGGATAAAACATTTCAGCGATTCAAACAGACCCTCTATCTCACAGCTCACACCGTATCAAAGCAGAGTGCTGACGTGTGAGAGCCTCATCGCGTCACAAACTATTTTGACAAACATCTCTGAGTGTAGCCTCTTAGCCACCGGCCGCTGACGCGTTCGGTCACCAAAAAAAAAGCAGCGCACAAATTTCGACAGATCACGGGAAGTGGTCCCTGCTCTCTAGATACACAATAGCACGGCTCTGGGGGGTCTGAGAGGCCGGTATGCAGCCTGTCCGGCGCACACACGGCCTCAGTTGAGCCCCCTGTTCTGTGTGTGTCGGCATTCACCACGTCACGCCGTCCATACCGTCCGGGTCAGACGGAGCCACAGAAATATGACGTCATTGGGAAAGGCGGCACACCACTGGAAGGGCCAAATCCAGTCAGCTGACAGCGTTGGGATTTTGTGCTGAGCACGGCTGTGATCTCGTGACCCTTGTCGCCAGCGATTGTGCGATTTGTGACTGTGCATTTGGTGTACATTTGGACACTTCGTTTGTGCCTCTTGCACGCTAGTGTGTCTGTGTAGCGTATCGTTATTCATCCAGGGTTCACTTTGTGCACGAGTGACCTTATTTGTCCTTCTTTTCTCTTTTCACTGCACCCTTGGAACGCCATACGTTCATCAGACATTTTTCTGATGTTTGCTGATACTGGCGTACTTGACACTGGTACTGCTTTACTTGGTACTGGTACTCGTCGGTACCAGTACTTCTCTATACTTCTCAGTACCCTGCATCACACTGCGGCAGTCCCCTTTCCATTTACCACCCCTTTCCTCCCTCGGTAGCCGTCCTGAGCTTCTCACCTAGCCAACTGAGTGTGACACGACCCCCGCGCCCGTCGCCAACCACCCCACGATGTCCGGCGTCCCTTCGGTGGTCGGCGACGAGCCCCGGCGCCGCGGCACCCCCACTTACCAACTAGCTCATCTTCAGACCGGTCGCGACTGGCGGAGCAACGCTCCAGCGCTGGCGGGGACCGTGGGCAGACGGTCCCGGTCAAACGTCGAAAGGGTCGCGCCGCTAGTCGAGAACGCTAGTGTCCTCTCGCCGCCAGCTACCGCCCACAGGTCGACTTGTATTCAGTGGGCTCATGTAAGTCGGTGGACGGCGGGCGGTGCCAAACGGCGATTTCCCCTCAAAGTAGACCCAACCGCGGTGTGAGTGTGGGATTTTCGTTCGTGTGGTGTCTCGCAGTGTCAGACAGCGTCACTCTCTCTAGATGTTGGTAAGTGTCATCTTTCGCAGTGTCAGCGGAAAGTGACTCGTGCTTTTGTCAGGTCACTCCTGTGTGCGTTTTGCCGGTTGTATCGCCAAGTCAGCTTTCTCAGATCTTTCGCCTGATCGCTGTCAGGTATCCAGCCTCGTTCTAGCGGCTCTGAAATATGTGGCTGGCTCCCAGGGTAGGTTGTAACGTGTTATAATCCCGCCTGATTTTACCAATGACGTCATATTTCAGCGGCACCACCGACCCTTGCTGCGGCGACTGTCCACGACCCGAGTGTCATTCACTGCACTCGCGCGGAGAGAGAGAGAGGACAGAGCGCGAGAGGAGCGAGAGTGCGGGAGGACGTCCGTTCGCGCACTGCGCAGGTCCCGCAGAAGGAGAGTCGAAGAGCACGTCGTCTGAGGCGCTACAAATATCCCAATGTGGCGTACGTCTTCACGAAGGGTGCGTCAAGCCGACAAGTTTCTCTGCGGGAAAGAAATGGCACGGGTTAGAAGGTATTGCAAATATATCCCGTTCGGCTGTTCGTTTGAGCAATGACCAGGATTGGTCGGTTTGAAGATGCATTAACTATATCAGGGTGCAAAGCTGAGAGGGTAAAGTACTAATTTGTCGAGTTTTTTGTAATGCTCGAGCACGAAAGACTTTGCAAGAAATGTGAACAAGTTGGCTGATAATTCGATACATTTTTTCTGTTGCAGCAACATAACAAACATTTTCCTTTTGAAATTAGTAAGGATATCAAAAGAAGCAACACCGGTACGGAAGTGCATGGTAAGTAGTGACGGACATAAAAATTGGCAGGCTCAAACAAATTAATAATTAATTCATGTATCCTTCCGATTGGAGAAATAAAACGAGCAATGTCTCCAGTCTTCAAGACAAATTACGGTCTATGAATAGGTAACGGTGCAAATTACCTACCATACAGTAATTATTAGACAGTAGTTGTTTGTTAGTGTTGCATAAATTACTATGCATAACAAACCCGTTACACAAAAACAACTTGCATTCCTGGAGTCGCTGAGTTACATGCACAACTTTGGGTAAAGTTGACTTTCCAACTGCAGTTTTACCAAAAACTTGACAGATACTCGCTATTGTCGCGAGTCGATCGTAGTGTCATCCAGCGAGCACTTCATTATCTATCATCTCGGACGGACATCACGCTGCCTAGTGGCCACAAATGTGCTGAAAGTTTGGTACAGGCATGCCTCAGGCAGCTGGCTTACACAGGTCCGTCTGAATGTTCAGCCATCGAACCACCACACGGCGAGTCGGTTCCGGGTTGCTGACGCACGAAACAGCGTGAAAAAGAGGGCAGCACAAGCGAGGTCAGTCAGCTGCTGCCGTGCTGCCATTTCCTGGCGGGCGTACCGCGAAAATTGCACGTGCAAGCTGAGAGGCTGTGATAGCTGCTGCCAAAAATGCCTCATGGCAACGGCAACTCTGATGTGCACAAGAAATGCTATTGGTATCGATTTGAAGGGACGTTTTCCAACGGTTGAGTGACAACTGTAAAACCAAACAAAATGATTTAGCATCATGCAACCTATTTTCAAATGGAAGTCGGCCATAATAGGACTGAACGTTTTAACGTTCACTGAATAACAGTATGTTTTGGGTCCGGAAAGCCGTCGCCATCTTAGTTGGAAATTGAAACAACAGGTTGGTACGTCCCTGCGTAAAGCACAACTGGAAACGTGGTGTTGTCAGTCGCGACTGTGTTTGTTATTAGAGAGCAGGCGTTTATCAAAACAAAGATCAGCAGAATCATTAGGTTAGCAGTGAGTCAAAGCATAAGTCAGACATACGATTGAGATTTAGTAGTAGCTTAGGCGCGCCGAAGGAAAGTCAGTGAAGAAAACTCGAAATCAATTTATCTGCCAAAGACTTCTTTTAAAAGACAACTGCAAATTAGCCCCCTCCCCTCCCCCCCAAAGACTGGCTGACAGCAGCGATCACCTCTGTGCGAACTGCAAAAGGCACCTACCTTGGCTGGCAAACACTCTCAAAGCCAGGTGGGCGTGTTCAAACTGCAATAATCACCAAACAACACAGTGCTTTTTAGCCAGGGACCGTACGGGTGAAGCGGCATGTGATTCAGCTGTACACAGGTAGCCATGGAAACGGAGCCAGCAGCAGCGGCTAACACAAGCTTGTGAACAGTGGCCAGCAAACGAACGCGTGTAGAAAGAATAAGGCAGAAGTGTTGCACAGCTCATTGAAAATTGGATTATCAGGGGGTTGTCAAGTAGGCATATGACAGGGGATAGATGAAAAGGCCGGGAATAAACTTGATAAGCATGAGAGGAAAAGAACCAAAAGAATGCATCACGAAGCGGTCAATTGTAGTATCTCAAACACTTTACAAAAATATGGAGGAATAAAGATAAACAATTGGTATAACATAAATGGATACACATAGAAAATATAAAATTGCTCGAAAAGCTTATGCAAATAAATGTTTATGTACATACACTGCAAAGCTGGCTAACTTAATCAATGGCAATGTGTATGTGTAACGTCAAACAATCAACCAAAGTTGGTATACAGACATGGACACGAAAATTGCTCGTTCAACACGGAGCATCAAAAGCTCTGAATAGACTAAGTGGTAAAGCTCACGTTGAAGAGTTCTCAACATCATCAATCATCCATATTGCAAGCATCCTGACCATGAAAATTACAGAAAGAAAATTTAGATCATCAGAACGACCGTGTCCAAGTCTCAGCCAACAGAGCACAACACCCAGACACCATAAAGCTATGAGAACGACCTCCCATCTTACTCGCTCACCCAGTAAGACTTACTCGTTCTCCCAGGGACAGACGCTGCTTTCGTCGAGCTTCTGCGGTGGTGGCTCACCAGCCGCGGGTGCCACCACGTCGCCCCGCTTCGGCGAAACCCCCTGCCTCGATGTGCCCTCCGCCAGCTCGCTCTCCTCAAGCCGCGCTCTTCTCCTCTCGCTGGAGGATTTCTTCCGCGGCTCGCGCCTCGCACGCGACTCCTTCCTCTCGCGTTTCGCGTCGGCGGAAGCGCTTCGCGACCTTCTCTTCGCAGCATCTTCGGAAGTCGCTGCCTCAGCACCAGCACCCAAACCTGATGGTCCTGCCACTGCGGCGCCCGGAGGCTGCCCCTCGAAGATTTTGACTTTCTTCTCCTTGCGTCGCGTACCTCGCTCCCGTGGAAGGTTGGCCTCGCACTGCTTGTCCGTAGTGGAGCCATAGTCGACGCTATCGCCCGTCTCCACGGTTTGTGCGCAGCGATCAGTCAGCGTAACGATCTCCGTGTGAAATGGACCGCCAGACGCTGAGCCCGATTTTGCCGCACCACCAACAGCGCCTGATGCGGATGCTGACCCCAAACCGACAGCTCCCTCCGACGCCAGGTGGGAAGCGGATGCTGGAGATCCTGTTGTCGCCGACGGCGGTGACAGAGGCAGAGGTGGAGGGGGAGGCGTGGGCTCGTCGCGCTCGTCGATGGTGGCTAGCGGTGCGGTCATGTCCTGGAACATGACCGGAGGCGCGATGGCGGGGGTCCAGGCAGCAGGGACGTCACCGGAGACCACTGGAGGCGGAGGGCAGAGCGCAGGGCCGACCGCCGCTGCCACCTACAGGACCAGACAGCGGGCGCTATAGTTGTTGGAAGACAACAGCTGAAAGGGTATGGTTCCCGCGTAATGCCTGTGGTGCCTACTAGGGCGGGTCGATGGAAAAAGTTTCCAAGTGAAGAGCGATTTTCCTACGGGCTGATCCATAAAACGGTTAAAACATATTTTTTGCGAATTTTTGAAAAGGAACTAGGCGCGCCGTCAACGGTTTTTCGAGACCACTTTTGCTAATTTTTCTCGTTGTTTGCAAAATGTAGTGGGAAAAATTCGAGAAAGGTACTATATTTACCACTTTCCTAGTTCTACATGCTTACCCCCACCTCTTCACAAAGTTTGGAAACCCCAGTGGCAGAATCGTGCTCAGAATAGCGATTAGCATCGGCGCTCTGAGCGCAACGAAACCAGCGCCATCTATTGAGCGAGTTTGGCATAACATTGATTTTGACGGCTTTCCGACCGTTAAAAGCTGACGCAGCCGCTGCCACGTCGGGTATATGGTGTTCTTTGGTGTTCCTAGGTGTCTGGTGTTCCTTATTTGACACTAGGTGAGTTGTACCCATTCGATCCGAAATACTTCAGGAATCATAAATTGCTCCGGAAGCTATACCTATAGTGATTTCGCCAAGAAAACAGCGAGATGCTTAACTTTGATGCCTATATGTTTATCAGTTAAATTAAGTTTTGCAGACAGATAACATCAGTCCAAACCGTATGTTCGTTTTTGAATGCAATGTAGCCAGCCACCTAACCGTCCTAGGACAGAAAATCACACTTCGATAATTGATTCAAACGCCGGCATGAGAGCGTTGCATTGCGTCCTGATGGCACACGTGATGTAACCGAGACGTGCTCTCTTAATAACAGCAACGTATGCTGCCTAAGTTAGGAACCGGACGGCTCGCTCCACTGCCTGAGTAGTGAGTATGGGTATGCACCGGATCGAAATTAATTTGTTAAGCAGCGGGTCGAAGGTCACCCTCTTCCAGCGAGATTGCTATTGGTGACTCTGTAACGCGTTCTTTTGACCGATCTATGAGCTGCATGTAGTGCATGACTTGTTAATTGCAAAATGGTGATAGAATCGCATATCTTTATGTCTCCTGCCTCATTCGCTTCCTATACTTTTTTGCCATAAGTGTCTCGAGTCTTTTTATCACCATTCCTTAGTTCAGCAAGCATCGCAGTGTATGCACTGTTTGCTGGCTGTCTGTATCGGCCAGTACAGCCCAAAAAAGTTTCCTATAGTGAGCCCGGTACTTATTCCTATCGATCACTGGGCGAATAACACAGGCCGGTGAGCTGAGAGGTCTCGCAATAGCTGGATGCTTTGGAGTAATCCGTCTCTACTCCGTAATTTCGGACCACATTGGGACATAGTGAACAACATTGAACTCAGTGATAGTTCGAAGCTGGTCAATATATGTTGTATGATGGGCGATCGCGACGGAATACGTAACTTGCAAGCTGCCAACGTAAGCCATTTTACCAAATTCAAGGGCTCAAGCTTCCTTACTGACAGCTACCTCAGGATTTGTCAAGAGCGTGACGCCTGCTTCCGGGCTGTTCAGAAGTGTTCTCTGATCTGGACTGCATGGCGTTGCCCGAAACGGCACGAACGGTTCCTGCTCGATGCACAGGCACTCTTGGTAAATGGTCCACTGATCGGCGCAGCTTTAGTCCAGTGGCTTTTCCACAAGTCTTTTAAACTTGTTTAATAGTTTGGCCCTTGTCTGATTTTGGTGTAAAATAGAATAAGCATTGACTACCGGGCTCATTTACTGAAGCAATATGCTCGTCCAACAGGCTCGTCATAGCCGATGATCCAGCACGGCTATCCTTTTTATCATGATAAACGACGCATCCTTATGCACGTAAAATGCAGAAGGGCATTTCCTTTGTAATCACTTGCCTATCCGAGAACAGAATGTGAAGTGTCACCGAGGACCACCACGCGGCATTAGTTCCGTTTCGACATGGAGGCTCCTTTCCACTAACTGCAACAATGTCACATGATTGGGATCACAAATTGCGTCGGAGACCACTCAGCAGCTACTACCGCGGTTATTATGAGGTCAGTTTCCCTCAAAGCTCGATGCTCCACTGCTTGTTGCGGTGGCCCAGCCCCAATAGGTCATCAAAATAGGATCTGATGGTCCGATGAGAACGCGCGACTCGGGCAGTGATATGATACGCGGATCGCCGATCAGCAGGATACCTCGCAACTCATCCTCAGTCTGTTGTCAGATGAAGCCGGGCTAAGTTGACGAGGCTAACTTAGTACTTAGTTATTCTGCAATTGAGCTGCTACTGTTCAGTTCTAACACTAAGTTTGCATTTCAAAAGAAAGGTTAAATTTACATGCAAGGAAATAATCGAAGCCAAAACTGAAAATAATGCTGCTGAAGTCTCAGCGCAGAATCAAATGACTAATAGGTCCAGCGGACACTATCGCACTTGGCGCATAATGACTGTGCTTAAGTCGGGTGAACCCCCAATATGTACATTTCATGGCTACTTTAATTGCAATTGACAGCTTTCACGCTATATACGCTCCTGTGCCTTACGTTTTTTTCATCAGCGTCCTAAGATCGCGTCAGCAGAATGCATATTGTCTCGGCCGACGCAAGGTTAACAGTCCTCTCAAGAGATGGCGCTGCGATCGAGTTGCGTTGCGGAAAACCGATACAGAGAGCATGGCACCATGGCCACAGTTAAAGAGATACAGCCAACAGACTTGCAGAATAGGTTGAGGAATAGCTGAAGTTTCGAGGTATATATTTGAAAATAATTAATCATATGATATTTGTGCTCAAAACTCGCGTGCAGTGAAAATGTAGCGAAAAACCCGGTTGAAAAATTGGCTGCGGCGACCCGCAACATCAACCAAAAAAATTGAAAAAATTCACACAGTCTTCTTGTGACATGCTCCGTAGGAATTTCGGTCTTCATTATGTGTCCTCGAAAAAAAGTTCTCGGATGACCCGCCCTAGACTGCCTACATGATATGTTTAATGCTTTACTGCTGCAAGCCAAAGGAGGTTCCGCAGTTGACTGCTCTGAATATAATACAGCATGAAGCTAGGCCAAATACACGTCACAGAAACTAATAGCATAATCAACATCATTGCGATATCAAATTCTGATTGAGATATATTGATAACGTCTTCATATGGCGTTGCTCAACAAGCCCCAATGAAAAAGAGTAAAGACCAACTCTGGTTCTCAGTGAAATCAGTCTTACCTGATACTCAGCAGTGGTGGGCGATGTTCCAACGGCAGCATCTTTTACTTCCACAATGTATTCGCCATCCTTCGTTTCTGTTCCGGCAGCGCCTTCCTCCGCTGCTGTGGCTAGCAAGCTCGCGGCATCCCCAGGCAGCGAAGTTACCTCTTCGCCCTTCGCTCGACTGTGTTTTCGTTCCACCTGCACCCCAGATGAAGAAGGTCTTCCTGGTACGAGCTCCAGAGGCGCCACTGCTGAACATTCACCACCCTCAGGAAAGAAAGCAGCTCCAGCTGAAGCTCCTCCTTTCAACGATCCCCCCGAGGTTGGTGAAGGACCTGCGACTGAGGCTTGCTCTTTTGCCGCACCCTCTACTCCGCTTGGGGCTCCAGATGCCAGTCCCGGAGAGCCAGCTTTTTCTGCCGGGGTACCTGCCGCTGGCGAAGAGCTTGCCAGCCCTGAAGCAGCTGCAGTTGCTGCTGATCCTTGTGCTGCAGTTGCCGAAGTACCGCTACCACCCGGCACGGTTGAAGTGGTCGTGGAACCACCGGGACCCTGTACGATGTTCTTTGGAGAGGATGAGGCTAGAAAGGACTGCTCCGAGGCTTTGGGAAGGGCAGAGGAACTGGACGCATTTGAGCCTGCACCAGACGGAGGTGCAGAAGCACTGGTTGAAGATGGTGCCGGTGGCGTAGCCGCAGCGGTAGCTGAAGCAGAAGCGAATGCAAAGGACGCAGCTGTCGCTCCAGGAGACGGCGAAGAGGATGCGGAAGCGGCAGCGACTCCCGCAGGCGAAGCAACAGCACCTGGTGCCGCTCCAGGCGAGGGACCACCAGGGGCGGCCGGGACGACCGCAGAGGCGGGGGCCGAGGCTGGCACCAGAGCCGTGGAGCCGCTGGCGCCGGTACTCGGAGGCGGCTCAGAGCTCGGACGTGCTGGACAAGGACTTGGGGAAGGACTGAGCCCGGGAGCCGGTCTTGCTGAGGGAGGCGGGGTGGCCGGCGCCCCCAGAAAGATGCCGGCGTCCTCCTCCTTCCTGCAAAGGTCAACGGGCAACGGTCAGAAGTCAGCGGTCAGAGGTCAGAAGTCAGCGGTCAGAGGTCAGAAGTCAGCGGTCAGAGGCCAGAGATCAGCAGAGGTCAGAGGTCAGGAGACAGGAGACCAGTGAACACATGGTGCTGGTTTCCGAGAAGTTGCGTGGTGTTAAAAAAAAATAAGGAGATTCAAGTCAGGTGAGGCGGCGGTGTAAGACTGAAATGGCTGCAGCTTCAAATGACAATGTAGATCAACAGTGCAGCCTGGCGTAGACGGGTTAAAAAAAAATAGGATTGGGGTATGTGATTTGCACGCAAAGTTCAATCAGAAAATGCATTTAGTTAGTAAGTGCAAGCAGTGATGTTGTTTTCAAATATTGGTCAGCGCATATGCCAACACCATATGTTACGTATGGAAGCCAAATGATGATTACCCTTGTTTTGCTAAAATAAAGTGATCAAAAACAAATTTAAACCGAAATAGATTTTTGAAATATTTACAAAAAGTGCAACCGAATAAATTGCTATTAAAAACAAAAACAAAAACGCAGCAAAGACGACCTTGTTGGTGCGCATAAAACCTCACCAACGTTCCAAACAAGGAACAGGAACATACGCTTATTTAAATATAAATTCTGCCACCCATGAAATGTTTATTGTATGTAGTGTTGTTTTTTGCACATAAAGTGCAATTTTTGGTACCAACGATGTCGTGTTACAACGATTCCAGGTTGTACCGACGAATTTCAACGATTATTTTAACAGAAAAAAGATAATAAGGCCATTTAGTACATTTATCCTAAAAAGATCATAGGATGGCACAAGATTGTGTCCTACCAGAGTCTACCCTCCACAAAAAATGGAGGGATAGTGAAAGTGCGTCGCTACGTTTGGGTTATAAAGCTTTTCAAATTCTCTCCTTGTCTTCACTTCAATTGAACTTTCAAAAACTGCATTTGTCATCGTAAGCTGCACATTTGAACATCAAACCTGCCTAAATGGCGAGTGTAAGCTATTTCCACGCATCATCTAAAACATTTTTACGTGCAGCTGCATGTTATGTGTTTAAACAGCTACATTCACCTGTTCCTTCTAACAATTATGGTAGCCATCAAGTGTGTCCAGCATATTGCGCACAAATTGTGTAAGTGAACAAAGTATGTTGAGCTATATCAAACATTGAACACGGTGTTAACATGTCAACATGGATCATGCACCATCGAAGAGAACCCGTTTTACACACCATCCAGGCTGATCACAGTTAGTAGCAAAGGTCGGGAAGGGCGCACGCGCAGGGGGGGGGGGGATTATCGCGTGTGACCAGAACTATGTTAGTGCCTGTGTGATTACTAATTGGGACTTGTGAGAGTCTATCAGTGGCTATTATTTTAGTGATAAGTGCCTAGTGATTAGTGATCGGTGTTTGTGCACGTTGGCTTTGGAACACGACCAAGGGGTGAACAAATGTAAAAGACATACTCGTAAACCACAATTGTCCATAAACATGATAGATGAACGCAATGTTGATGGTTCTACAGTGCTACACTGAAATGAAACATACATTAAAACGTTAGCTAATGCCAATTTCCAGTGTTGTTCAACATATTTCCACAAAACTTATACATTGGTGCATCCCGTGGTCGGTAACGAAACAGTGCATTGGTAAAGTGATCGAAGAAACAAAGAAGCTTGCCAATGCGAAGGTGCCAAAGCGACCCAAAGACGTTGCAATTTGACGTTGCCATTCTCACGACAGACGAACAGAGCACTCAGTTGTAAGAAAGATGCGGAAAATGTCATCAATAGTGTGGGTGTTTTTGTAGCTGCTGAGGGTGTATGGTTCTGTATAGTGTGTGGTTTGAAGGGTTGTAAAAGTCAGCGGATGTGTGTAATGTGTATCATATCCGCTAACATAAAGTTAGCGGATGACGTGTCTCTCTACTCTAAGCAGTTGTCTCTAGAGTCTCGGATATATGCCGCTGTGAATATCACCTGTGTGCCGCTGTGTCTCTCTGTCGTGTATGTCGCTCAACTATGCTCCCAGCTGTGTTTTGCTGTGCCTTTGTGCTTCTCAGCTGTTAGAGGCTTTAGCGACATGTCACTGTCATCTATATGAGTCGCAATGTTTTGCTGTGTGCCGTGATTTTTTTATAGGTATGTGTGCCGTGATATTTTAGCTGTGTGCCGGGGCCAATGTGTTAGTAAGTCGTGTGGTCATTTGTGTCTCTCAGCCTTTGTGTCGCTGTGTCTCCCGGCTGTCCTTGCTGTGCCCCTCTGTTACGTGTCCTTGTGTTTCTCGACTGTGTGAGTACACCACCATTTCCCGCTGTGTTGCTCTGGCCTAAGGGATCAGCAATCTGACGATGGGACGCGGGCTTAACTGCCGACCAAGACCGGAGCAGGATTTCGACACGGTGCAGCCGGACACACACGCACACACGCAGCATCGCCGACAGGGCACGAGCGAACGCACGCGAGTGTGCGGGCACACACGCACGCACGCACGCACGCACTTACAGCACAGGAACGGTCGGCCTTGGCCGTTCTCGACTTTGCAAGTCACCCCTGCAAAATGGGTAGCTCACTGAACGCATAAAACTGGCCCGAGAACAGAGCACTAGCGACAAAATAGCACTAGGCGGCACAAACTCACCAGAAGCATGTCACAAAGTCGCGACCGGCAGTCTGGTAACTTTGTGGCAACGTAGTTTAGCTAGGCGAGGTTGTAAGCGGTTTGGGTGCTATTGCTAAGCGTAGCGAGGAGTCACTATTGACTAGCCTCTAAGCTCGCTTTATGGCGGTAATTGCAATGCGCAGCGTGGTTTCAGCTGCCTTTATAACTTTGTATTTAGTCCCAATTGTTAAGCTGTAGCCTTCAAATATGAAGTTGCTGTGTTGCTTAGTGCTTACAGTTAGGCTTCTTACTTCATGTTCTCGCAACGATGAGCAAAGTTGATGAAGCTTAAGATAACAAAATTAAGTGTTATTATGTAGCAAAGCGAAACACTATAATTCCAAAACGCATTGCCTAGGTTACCTCATGCATTAGGCTCACTTTTCCGATGTCATTACACTTGTTATCTCCTTTGGGAATTTATTATTAGGCAAATTTGACGCACTCACGCTGCGAGAAGGCCAAAGACTGATGACACTTCTTCTCCTGTCGACAATTCACAGATATGAGTCGTTAAAACTAAATCATTAAATATAAGAACTTCTACGAGGAGCTACAGCACACGCTAAACCTAGTTTTATGGCCTTGCACTAAACGCTGTAAATGCAGCTATATAGTATTGTATATGTATGTATATGTAGGGGATATGTAGGTTAATACCTACATATCCCCTAACATGTAGGCCTTTATCGAATGCCCTTACCAAAAAAGTTCGACAGACAAAAAGCATGACTTCAATATCCTAACCAAGAACCTGCATATTGTCGTTCTAGACAATGTTCTAGAGGTCTGTCATTATCAAACAAATAACAAAGATCATAGAATGTGTTGTCTTAGACTCTCTCGATGTCTGTTTCTCGCGAGAGGAATAAGTTTTTTTGCGGTAATCTTGAAGGTAGCCTGGTTTAGCCGTCCTAAGAAAGGAGGCCCGACTGCCTGACAACAAGGTAGAAAAGTGTCTGAAATCTGAAAGCCACAGAGTCTAGACTGCCGGGACCTTAAAACGACACGTTTAAAGTGCATTTTATATGGAACGTGACAATAATGCACAGTGCACACTGCACATCCACTTCGGTGGAGTCTAAGTGCCACTTAATTCCAGCGGTCATGCGTGCAAAAATGCGGCAAATGAATTTTACTGGAACCCAAATCTCATTATCAGCGCTGCAACTATAGTTCTTATTAGACAACTAAAAAGTAAAAGAAAGCAATGAACACAATTTTACTTAGAACAAGCGCATACATTTCTAACTGCACACAATAATGACTGGACGTTTGATAACTTTGGCCTCCCAAAACGTCATACCTTTCAGAGGCATAGTGCAAACATTTTCATGGAGCAAAACAAAATTGATTTTTGGGGGAGAGGGCATACCTGTACGGCGGTTCACAGTCCGGCTTGGCTCCGCCCCCTCCAGTGGAAGCGACCGCTGATTGGTCCTCGCTGCTCAGACGACCAGAGCTGGCCACCAATTGGCTGATGTTTGGTGGCGTGACAGACGAGATTTTCTTCTTGCCGGGAGCCCCAAATGTGAAGAATCTGCCATCGGTGGAAAAAGTGTTAATTATTGGAAAAATTTAGCCTATAGGTCAATAGAAAAAAAAAAAACAGACGGATTTGTTGCTTAGAGGCTGATACTGGATTATGTTCCGCGTCCAAAGTGTGAGACAATAATCGAATTTCAACATAAATACCGCCGCCAGGAGGTTATGTCATGGTGAATGAAGAGTTTGTAGACGAGGTTCACTTTTGGGCCAATTATGATAATTTATCCAACCGAGAATTATATGCGCCTATCTTGCCCATCTTCAGTTCAAAACTCCGGATAGAAGCCCGATGTTTTTCAGGATGTTTTTGGGTTTATGTAAGCGGTCTGATTTCGCAGTACGCCAAATAGCCTTAGTCACAAGGCGTCCTTAAACTCATACCATGATATTGCAGTTTCAGTTTTAAGCACTTTGTTATAGTGTGCTGGATGTGGACTTTGTTTCTCATCCATGTAGTTTTATCCATGTAGTTTCCGTTACTTAGTTTCACAACGTCACAACACTTGAAGATCACTAGAAGAGTATCTTCGATGATGAAAAAGTATCGTAAGCCTGATATCTTTTTCAACAGGGATCATCTTTCTGAAATTCTGAATGTTAGGATGGAAGAGGCACTAGGTTCATCTAGTTAAACAGCATGGAATTATAGTTAAAGTCTGGAAAACCTAAGAAAGAACATATCTCAGGCGCAATCGCCACCAATGCACGAGCCTCTATAATGCCTGCAACATATTCGATATTTTAAAACACTTCTTTACGTGGCTTTTCAGACAGATTTTCTCTAAACTGGGCATGTGCCGTGATCAAAGCACGCGCAGTGATTCAGGCGCTTCAAATCCGTTCTTTCTTAGGGTTTCCAGACTATCGTTATGAACATCTCTGCTCAAAAACCGTTTTGTATTACAATGGATACGTTGCGATAAAGCGATTGAAAAAATAAGCACATGCTTTATGAGATAAGCAAATATGCGAGGAACGTAATGCAAGAAGCGGTGTCGTGGAAGCACGTGCTGGGTGAGTTGACCAATTTGGGCGACTTGAGTGTACAAAAACATGCACCAAAGAATGCAACTGTACCCAACTTAATGACGAAAAGCTTGAAGGATCATGCAGGAGTCCATGATTACTGGAATATCAACTTATGATATGTTCCAGATAACTTGAAATGCAGCAATCGTTGCCTATAGCCTCTTACAAGAACATTTGAGTGGGTAATCATCCAACACTGAGCAGAATAATCCCCAGGGATGGATCCGCGACAGACTTGTTACCATGGCAACTGGCGTCAGCCAGTCATCTTGTTATCTAAGTTGTCATGGCAACGCCCGCTTCGCTGGTGCGCAAACGATGCACCTAGATAGCCAACGTCTTATCGAATTGCATGTCTGTCCGCGCTTTTGAAGATTGGCGGCCGTATACATATCTTATCGGTAGAATAGTGGGATGCATCTCTCGAAGCCTTATTTGAGGTAAAAATAGGTGGACGAAAAAATGGGAAAATTTATTTGGACAGCAAGGTGCCCGTTTCCTAAATTTATATGAGCAATTAAGAAATGAATAAAGGAAATTGTTGCGCCATTGTGATATACGCAAATACTATTTTCATTGTTCTTGGGATATTTGCAAATCGTAACGATAACAAAAACTATGCGGCGAATGTAAGATCGTCGCAGTTAATTAGGTACGAAAAATACTGCCACGAGAACAATACCACTTTTTCCATTCAGATACAAGCTTCTCATTTTTGCTATTGGCATCCTCAGGAAAAGTTAGGGATTTTTGCTCGGAAAGGAGCCAAATGCCTACTCACTAAGGTATACTTACTTCTTTGTAGAGCTTGTGGAACTGTAGAACATCAATAGGAGAGAGGGACGCATGTGTCAGTAAAGAGGGAAAGCTACACGCTCGCGCACAGACAATTAGCCGGGCCAGGCTAGCCATGCCAGATGTATTGTTGCAATGTTGCTGCGTGTTAGCGAGAGAGAAACTTTGACCGGCACAGCTGCTCAATGCTCATGGCCAGAGAGCGTTTTGGGATCGACTTTTTATCACATCATAAACGAAAAGAAGATTCATTGGTAATGGAAAAGATTCATCGAAAAGAAGATTCATTGGTATTCAATTTCGGTCATTGAATTTTATAAAGTAATTATCGTTTTAAAAAGTTGAGCATTTTAAATAAACATCTTTAAAGCGACTCTATTTTCATCATAAGCGACGGCACAACGGAAGAAAATATGAAGCAGTGTGATCTTTGGTGTCTAGTGTCTGGCTGGGTAAGATTACAGTCCATTCCATCATATTTTTTGCTCTCTTGCATTAGCAGCTGTGGGTGTTGAGTCCCCTCTCGGGTATGTAATGCCAAACAGTGAAGCAGCCACCAAATATAGCAAAACAATAGACAACAGAAAATCACTGAGAGACCCTGATAGCGCACAATGACGGGAACTGCGTGACATTTAGTGGAACGTAGATGGAAAAGTAATTACAACATTTGTGTGACAGCTGTGCTTATTGGCAATAATGTAATTGTCAATAAATGCAAACGAACAAACAGCGAAGTTATAAAAACTTAAATACATTTCGGTTGAAATTTTCCTGAATGGTGATTACATCAGACATCTCAATCTTACGATTTTTAATAACTAAATCAGAATAAAATAATTATACGTTACGAAAAAAGAATAGCAGTAATAAATATCAATGTGCAGTTATTTGAGCATGTTGAAAAATGTAATTTGTATGATAAAATAGAATAACTGCTCACTGTTCAACGGCGTGCTATCGTACAATTTTTGTCATGTTCTGAAGCAAGCGTCTGTACATGTTTGTGTTGTCATGACAACGGTTAAACAGCATTACATCTATCACAATGTCATGTGAAAGAAGACAGTCCCAGCATACCAAAGATCAGCATGCCATCTCACCTTTTCTTTGACGTGGGATTTGTTGCGTTTGTCAGCAGATTTTTGTAGTGCTCCGAGCGCAAAAATCTTGGATAGCAGTCCTTCTTCAGAAGCAGGTCGAATATGTGGTCAGCTGCGTAGTCGTACGTGAAACGTGTGGGATTTTTCAAAAGTTCTTGAGTGCGCTCCATTGTTTTTCCGTCGATATTGATCTCACATGGTGCCCCCGGCCGCAGAAACTCGCTGAAAAATGGAAACGCTGTATTACAGTTTGTTCAAAACTAGACATAGTGGCCAGTGTTTGTGATTTGGTAGTTACACTAGAAAAAATGTACGTACAAGATAACATCTCACATATAACGTTAGGTCGTTCAGAACTTTTCCGTGAAGTCTCATTAAAAGGTATAAATATCAAGATCAAAATTCAAATATTTTCCAAATATATATATGGTAGTAACAGCGTTGAGCGAAAATATGCAGTGGCGGATCCAGGATTTTCACTGGGGAGGGGCTGCAGGTCATAATTGGGCGCCACGCCCCGGATGGGCGCCATAGTCGCATCGTATTGGCGCTGAAATATTGGCGCCCAGTGACCCTGACAAGAGGCGCCCAGGATCAGTATGTACAGTGACACCACACGATTGGAAATATCGGTGCGGAGCGTACTGAAACGACGTTATTCGACTGATTTTTGCATCCTAGTCCTAGTATGCGGCACTCCGATGAGTTGCGAATTGAAAATTGGCGCCACTGCGCCTTCAGCGCAGTGGCGCCAGTTTTCCTTGGGTGGGGGCTGCCAGCCCCCGCAGCCCCCCCCCCCCTGGATCCGCCACTGAAAATATGGTGGCTTTTCGGTTCTCAAGCTTCCACACAATTCAAGACGCCTCTCGGTGATCAGAATTCCCATGTGATTTGAGAATTCTCTCGGGTCGCAGAGGCGGCAGACGGCCGCCTTCGATCGATGTCTGGCACACAGTTGAACTTTGCCCCGTGGCGCTCCAGGCGCCAGACGTCTGTAAATCCGTACGCCTTTCTAGGATGGCGCATCTAGAAAGGCGTACGGATCAGGCAGTTCTGGTAAAGAAAGGGCATATAATACCGGTTTTGGAACTGTTTTCGTGTGGTAAAAAGTCATTAGCGACAAGCTGTTGAAGTGTGTTGAAGAGCATGATATTTGCTATGATTGGAATGTCGCCTAAATGTCCACTTTGTAGTTTGATTTGGCATAGGATTGCATTCGAAAGACTTTTCTTTCAATGCTGACGACACGCTAGTGAACAAGCTAAAATACGAGCAGTCAAATGATTTTTTCGTGATCCGCTATCATTTCACTCCCCCCACCCCCCACCCATCGACCTTCGGCAAATTAGGCACAATGTTTCGACAAACGATTTACGAAGGTTTTTCATTGTTCGTCCCAAAATCTCCCACCATTTCCATCACTCACTCGTAGATGTGGCGGACCTCGTCGGGCACCTGGCTCAACGGCATCTTCTTCAGCTGATGGACGGCGCTCCAGAAGCGGATGTTCTCGTGGCTGAACTCCTTCCGCATGCACGAGGTGAACTCGTGAAGGCCTGTCGGGTCCGACACCGTCTCTTCCATGCTGATGGCCCAGCGGCGCACGCGGCGCTCCGTGGGGAATTCCACGCTAAGAGGGAGTAAAAGGGGAGGGTTAGTGTGGTTCGTGAGGGTGTTAATTGTTGGCTATGTCAGGGTTGTGTGAGAATAAGAGTTAACCCGCGCCCTGCTGGGGGGGGGGGGTGTTTGAACACCCCCCCTTGTGGTTTTTCGCAAATATCTCAAAAACGGCGGCGCGGAGCGCCGCCGTTTTTGGTACACCTTGTCATACATCAATTCTACACATGTTGTTAAAATTTCAGACCAAGGTCATTCAAGGTCAGGTCACCAGGTCACTTGAAGTGACCTCACCTCATAAAAAGTTTCAATGTCTGCCATAGCTACACCGAGTGACCGATCGCTTTTAAACTTTCAGCGATTGCTAAGAGCAATAGCATGTACAAAATGAATATCTCAGAATTTTGATATCGATGACCTAAGGTCAGGTCAATTTTGCGACCTCCCCATTATAAGTCAATGGAAGAAAATTGAAATGCGCCTCTTTTGGACGAAAGACATTATAAACACTCCCAAACACCGAATTACAAGTGGTTAAGACACACTGAACATGAAAATGGTGTCCGTGACCCCTGTTTATGCCCTGAGGTCATCTTAGGTCACGAATGGTATCTAACGGTTTTTCGCAAATAACTTTTGATAGAGGCATGCTAGAGCGATGAAAACGCCTTAGATGTGTTCAGCTCGACGATACGGATCGACTGATATGCAACATGACCCTTTCCGGCCAGGTCATGACCTTGACCTGAGGTCAAATTTTCAAGTTGACCTTTCAAGGTCAAGTTATAGTTCATTAGATGCGTCTTGACGAGAGGAACACGATGCCGGTAAAAGTAAGCTCGTACAAGGCTTGGGTCAAAAGTTATTGCAGAAAAAACTGTTTCCGAAAAAATCGGCTATTTTTGCAGTTTTTGCCCCCTGCAGGCAAAACCGTTGACGTTAGGTCAAATCTGAGAGAATTACGCAGAAAGGGCGTTATAAGGGCTATCGAATGCGCTTTTCCGCGGCGCTGTAGCTCTATTGGTTCCCGAGTTATGCGTTGGCTTCTTGGAAATTTTCGACATTCGACCTGGAAATCGGCGAAATTTGCCTTCAATGACCTCTGGTGACCTGACCTTTGACCTGACAAAAAATTGACCGAAGTGATTTCGTCATCATTTTTGACGCTCTTTCGAACGCCGCCTTCCGCGTATATCGACGTGGCCCAGGAGCCGAGTTACAAGGGGGGGTGTTCAAACACCCCCCCCCCCAGCAGGGCGTGGAAATCCAGGACCCCCAGCCGGGCGCGGTTAAATAGATACTCTCTCTTTTCTCCCTCTTCTCTCTTCCTCTCTCTCTCTCTTCTCTCTCTCTCTCTCCTCTCTCTCTCTCTCTCTCTCTCTCTCTCTCTCTCTCTCACTAGCCCTCTTTCCTCTTAGCCTCTCTCTCTCTCTTGGCTTGAGTGGAGCAACTTCCTGCTTTCTAACTTGCT